GAAAAGGATCCTGTATAACCATGAGGCATCCTGCAAACAGGAATTACTAGGATTAGAGACAGTATCTTGAACAAAACTTGACAGGATCCTGCAAGATCCTTCCAGGCTTTCCCAACGAATGAACAGGCTTGAGACTAAGGATTACTTATACAACGATTCAAATCAAGATCAGGATAAAAATCCTAGTAGAATCCTAAATCCTCAGGATTCTGCCAGGTTCAGAATAAAAACACAATAAAATCTTAAAAAGCCATCCCATTTATCACTGTTGAGATTTTACTCAACATTGGTATTTGAAATTATGTTGTGATCTATAGATTTACCAATCTTGGACGGATCCTGAACAAAAATCAGCTAATCTTGATGAAACCTTTTCATCCATTTTTGCCAGCATCCTGAACAAGATCAGTTATAAATCTTGATAGGATCCTGAAAATATAATTCTGAATACACTCTAAACACAAACCTGCAAAGATCTTAACTAGATCCTTGTATTTCCTCATCAAGATCCTGATGATGGCTGGTATTGTTGTGTAAGGATTCGAAATACTTATACTTGAAGAGTTCCGCGAAGGTCCTGGAAGGTCCTGGAAAGGTCCTGGAAAGGTCTAGGATAACAAGGATAAATAGGAATTGGAAAAGGATCCTGATCAAAGCTTAGCAAGATTTATCAGTTTATGATTGTAACTGATCCTGCTATCTTCTTGGTAAGATCTTCCTCTGATATAACTATAACTCTTGACAGGATCCTTGTATCAGGATCCAGAACAGATCTTGACTAAACCTGATAAAATTTTGATCGAATCCTTTCTTTTATTCTTGTCAGGATTCTCAGTAGGATCGAGAGCGAATCCTAGTAGGATCCTGCATTGTCAGTTCAGAAAAAAATCTGAGTAGGCACTTGAAGGAATCCTGAAAAGGATCCTGCTTAACCATGAAAAAATCCTGCAAACAGGAATAAGCAGGATTCGAGACAGGATCCTCGAAATTCAGAATCCTGAAAGATCCTTCCAGGCTTTCTCAAGAAATGAACAAGATTGAGATTAGGGCGTATATTGTCTCATCAATATCCTTATTAGGATTGACATTGTCTTGCACGGTCTCGGAACGGATATTCTTTAACAGTTCTGAACAAGATCCTGACTGAAGCTTCGCAGGATTAGTCAGTTTCGTATTCTGACTGATCTGGTAATTTGCTTGCAAAGACCGTTGTCTGATGTGGCTATCACTCCTAACAGGATCCTGATACGAAGATTTGGCCCTGATCTTGACGGAATCCTGATAAAATCTTGGCAGAATCCTCACTTATAATCGTGTGAGGATCCTTGATAGGATCTAGAGTAAATCCTGGTAGGATCCTGTATTCTCAACTCAGAAAAGTATCTGAGCAGGAACTTGAAGAAATCCTGAACAGGATCTTGTTTAACCTTAAAAAATCCTGGAAACAGGAATTACTAGGATTCGAAACAGGATCCTAAATAAAACTTGACAAGATCCTGGAGATTGAGGATCCTGAAAGACCCTTGCAGGGTTTCTCAAGGAATGAACAGGATTGAGACTAGGGTAGTGCTTCCACTAACGGCTTTTATCAGTCTTGATTATCAAACATTCTTGATTCTTTCTACAATGTATGTTCTGATATAAACTGCGTTTCTTTTGTGGGAAGAAATAAATGTCTTGATTGCACTGTATATCATTGAATTGAGCGAACACGTAAACTGCAGTTTTGAAAAGGTCTGAAGGATGGATAAAGAAGTCGTTCCTGTGTATCTGCTGGACCGAAATAAATCCGATAGCACTACCACAATAGACGATATGGCTGAATTTCTGGAATTTATGAGTGAAGATCGTGACTTGGATTCGTCTTTAAACATGCCACTGGGAGTACCAGATCCAATCCTGACAAGTACCTCTTCTCATCCGACAACGACTAGCTTTGAACCCCACTATGTGTATACACAACGACATCGTCCGGATGATACATCACCTCAGTATGTGTAACCATATGACCCAGCTTGGTTCCTTCAATACGTTGAAGAAATGAACGCTGCTACTCCGTACGAACATACGTATATATGTTTTACTCCACCAACATAGTATTTTGACAATTTAGAAGAAGATTTAGGTATTACAAATTTCGATTTGTTCTTCCAGCCTTTTATTTCTTAATTTGCAGGCTTAAAAACAAATGAAATTCTTTCTAATGCCGATAACGAACGAAGTCGCACACCGGAAGAGACAGAGCCGCCAACTCCTCCCAGATCTCATTACACGGCATGCGTTTTATGGGAAGCATCGGAAGAAGCATGCGGTCCTGGAGAACAAAATACGAGAGACTTGGCCTCTAATAGGAGCTTGAATCGACTATCTACGCTTCTTTGTAGGGAGATTTGACAGAAATAAGAAATGTGTTAGTTTTGGCACATTGGAAAGAAATGACGTCGGACGTTATATGATGTCTATTGGAGCTGTTGGAGCACCGGAAGATGGTTATCAAAAATGCAAAAAAATATAATAATAAATCGCCTATCAAAATTTAATTTTCTTATCGATAATTCAATCGAGATTTGTCCAACAAGGTAAAAAGTTGTTGTCATTAGCCAAAGTGCATGACGATAATCAGGACAGCGATAATAACACTGGTCAGATAATGAATAATGAAATGGTCATGAATTTGAAAAAAATGTATGATTGTTATGTTAATAATAACATGTCATTTGTAGAACAAGTTAGAATTATCGCAATTTTACCACGTAGTTATGATCAAGTAATGAAAGCATTTAATTGCTCAAGGTACAATGTGAAGATAGCAAGAAAAATGCAAGAGATGAACGATTACATGTTAAATAACGAGAAATTGCCTGTTATTCGTCAACGTATTAAACCAGAACAAACAAAACATTTTATAGCATGGCTTGTCGAAAGTAATACGTTAGTTTCAGGTATGTAGTTTTTAAATAACGAAAACTCATTTCGAACAAAAACATTCACTATTTTCTAGGCACTTATGGTTTCTACACTCACTAAAGATGGATAACGGAGATAAATGTATCGTTCCAAAACAAATTCTTCATTTTCAAAAATATCATTGAAAAAATCAATCTAATACTATTTCTACGCTTTCTGGTGAATTTCGTACGTCTTCACATATAGTGGCTCTGACTAATGCAACGAAACAGATTTAGACTCACTAAGTACTGGTGAGTTAATTTTGAAACAATTTAAAGAAAATCGTCCTCACATTACAAAACTTTATAGAAGAACGGACAATGCTAGCAACTTTTCATCGCATTCAACACCTGAGGGTGAACGTGTTATTTGTGAGAAGGTAATTGATTTGGAGTTTATATCCACTGAAGTAAGCAATCATAAGTTATTTCTATTCAATTGATTTTAGTTGGGGATAAATTTGGTATGCAGGGACTATAGCGAAGTGCAAAAGGGGAAGGATATATGTGATAGAATCTGTGGTTCATCAAAATCTCGCTTACGCGCGTGGTCAAGTAACGGTAATGATATACAAAATGCTGTGGATATAAAGGAAGGAATGGAGTATGCAGGCGGCATAAAAGATACAAAAATAGCTGTTGCACAGATAAGTGAAGAAGGTAAGACTTTCTCAGCATGGGGGAATAATGACAGTATAACATTTTTTTCTTGAAGGTGTCCTTGGTACATTCAGTATTCCTAATGTCAGCTTCGTTAGAAGTATCATGTATGATGAACACGGAATGAAAGTTCAAAAAGCCAGTGGAATTGGAGAAGGAAAACATGTTCCATACAAAGGTATAGATTTTGCAAATAATATGAGAATTACAATTCTGCTTAGTGCAAAAATCGACTCTCGATCATCTGTTACGTGAAAACCAAGGCAGTAAGTTTATAACAGATCTTTAAGACGATTCATAAACTAAAATTTTGACTCGAACTTCTAGGCGCGCTGACAGAAATTATCATAATATTCAATTCTGTCCAATCAGTGGATGTACAGCTAGTTATGATACCGAAGATGATTTAAATGTTAACATAGCTTCGAACCAACATTCAGCTTACAAACGATACAGCCTGATTACAATTGATCGATTCATTAAAAACAACGAACATGTTAAATCAAATACAACAAACTACCATTCTTAATAAACAACAAACAACCGTAGCGCAACAGAATTCAAAGCATTATGCACAGATTTCGCAAGCGGATTGGGCGTTAAGAACACGGAAGCACACAACCAGAATAAAAGAAACTCTCAAAAATTTTATCGAACAAATCTGGCGAGATGAAAAAGGTACAGGGAGAAAACCTACCGCCGATCACGTAGTGCAAAAGATTAGAACAACGCGAAACTCGAACAATGAGAAAATATTTCAACCGGAGGATTATGTTACTATTAATCAAGTGAAATATCAGTTCAGAAAACTAAACAAAAAGTATGAAATCAATCCGCAAGAAGAAACAATCGAAGAACTAACAACAAAAACTAAAATGATGAGTCACATGACGATTAGATAGAAGAATAGCCACCAAAAAAAAGCGTTGCATGCAAAAATACTCGATCAAACTGCTTTAGTGCAATATTAGTGATTGATGCCATAAACATTTAGTTGAAAACATTTTAGTTTAAGTTGATTTTATTGAAAATCCAGCCAATGGAAATTAGGAGAGGCTTCCGGGGCATAAGCCCTACCTGAAACTGTATTAACATGAGAATCAACTTGTTATAGTATCACCATTGAATTCCTCGTCGAAAATTACTTATCTGAGTTGATTTTGATCTTTCTTTTAGCGTATCGTACTAGGAAAATGTTGATTTAACGATGGCTCTGAAACGTGGTCCTCCCGACTGGACTCCTCAAGCCATTTTAAGAGATCCAAATCCTACCATGGCTCATGATAGTACACTTGGTGTACTCCAACAATACCATAGAGAGCGGGAAATTCGCCCGGCTTCCAGGGAGAAAACCGTTTGCCAAAATGACACATTTTGCTAAAAGTGGCAACTTTGGAGCAACCTACATCAAAAACAAAAATACTTGAGATTGTCAAAATGATTTCAGAAACAGTCCAACATATAGTCTATCTGAAAATATGATTGAGGATCTCATGTTTCTTTTCGTTTCAATAGGGTTGTTCGCCAAAGTTGACCGAATCGACGATTGGGTCTGTCGCGCGTCATCTCTGCAAAAGAACGAAAGCATGTGCGGAGTTCACGGTTGCTTGAATTTGTAGTCGACAGTATCCAGTATTTATGATACAGTTGATTAGTCAAGTCATATGTCATTACGAAGTTACACGTGGTTTAAGTTGACGATTTTTCAAGATGGCGGAACATTCGTTTTTTGGAGCTTTTCGTAAAAATTGAATATCTCTGTAGCACAACAACTTTAAGACCTCCGGTTTTCATCAAAATTAATGAAAATGTTTGCTGTAGAGAAATCTCCTACTTTGAAAGAAATCTGAGATGGTCGATTCAGCAGCATTATACCGTAATAGGTCGTGGTTTATCTTTAATGGCTCTTAAATATCGTTAATCATGATCCAAAAAATTGCAGTTACACTAGAAAATGTTTAATCACGATTATCTTCAATCGTGATTATCTGCGTAGTGTAACCGTAGTGTTATACATAGCATGGAAATTGACAAAACAAATTGGTGATTTTATCGCCAACGAATCTTGCCGCTTTAGACAAGAATCTCTAATGAAAAAGGGTGAAAAATCAATAAATAATAAAAAGAAAAATCATGTCTAATCTAGTAAGACAAAATTGAGGATTCTTGTCTGAAATGGCAAGAGGCAAGAATCTTGCAAGAATACCCACAAGAACGTCGACCAGTGTATGTCAGATAAATTACAAAATACGACATCTCTTCTTTGATACGACTCTAGAAGAATTCTTGTTCGATTGACGAGCCCTTGACTACACATACTCTTTCAATGGTGTAAAAGCATTGTGAACTACTACTGGTTATCTCACGCAGAACGAAAAAGTAAGACAAATGTAGATGAAAACGAAACGAATAAAAACGGAATATCATCGAAACAATGAATACAAAAAGAAATTTTTTACAAGAAAAAAAGAACTAAGAATCAAAATGTTTTCGTTCAAGTTTGTTTTTTCCTTCTTTTTCCATTGTCTAAGCAACTAGACGTAGAATATAACATTCATTTTTACAACATTTAATAGAATTTACTTAAAGGTAATATATTTTATTATAACAGTAGCTTGTCTAAAACTTCATCATTATTATTTATAAATTTATTCAAAATAATTAATATTTTAAAAATATAATCCTCATTTTCAAGAAGACATTTTTCCAGGTGTCTAACGGAAAGTAGAAACAGAATTTTAGAATTATAGACTAAACATTTCGATATGAAATTTTTATGGTTTAGGCAGTTTTTAGTGAAAATTCACCATAGAAAACTCAAAAAATGCTTGAGAATTTGAGAAATGCTGGAGAATTTCCATGGTGAATCTTCACTAAAAACTGCGTAAAGCATAAAAAATTCATATCTTGTGAAATGTTTGGTTTACAAGCCTAAGATTCTCAAAGTGAATAGATAACATCTATCTCCACCAACGATGAAAATTTCAGACTTCTAGCTGATCATGGTTATGAATTATTAATTAATTAATTAATGTTAATGACATTTTCATTAATTAACTCATATCTCGGTCAAAAAAGCGCATGTGCACAGACCAACTTGGGATTTTTCCCTGCTTACTATTTCCTACACGATGAAAATAGGTGGAGTCGAAAAGCGTTTTATCAGTTAAGGGTGTTCCTTCGTGAGTTATAGAATTTTTAAAAATAGGTGTATCGTTTTTTTCGAAAAGTAGTTCTTTTGTTTTTTTATTAGCGATCAGATCACATTTAATAAAAACATATAACGTTAAAATTATTTAATTTAAAGCATCAGCTTGTGACTGTAGTTCATCAGATTCAAAAAGTTTTTGATTTCATACGTTAACAGACTTCGGTTGAGAATTAAGAAATACAAACATAAATTGTATAAGACAGACAGAGAGAATAACTATTTCACCGGTATAATATAAATGAAATAAAATAATACTGTACAAGTTTTGATAAATTTATAGTGTCAAATAATATCTAGAATAAATATGTTTAAAAAATAAATAATGTACACTTGTATAAATAATATTAAACTTTTAAATTTTCATTTTATGAATGTTCAGAGTTTAATAACACTAATCGATAATTAGCAAGTATTAATTCATCAACTACAATAAATAAAATGAGAAGCTTTTTATTAGGTTTATCATTTCTACTTTGAATGTCACTCAAATGAGGTTGAAATGAAAGAGTTTAATTACAAAAAGATCCTTTGTTTTATCTTGTTTCTAGAGCTTGAAGAAATATTTTGATAGTTTTGTTCTTTAGTTCAACGCTTACTCTTAATAATATCTTAGAAAAATCTTATTAAGATCTTACTAATATTTCACTTGTATTTATCTAAGATGTTAGAAAATTAAATTTTATTTGACATTGATAGATCCGAAAATGTTATGATTTTGATGAGATTTCTCTAACATCTTACTAAGATATAGATTACTTTGTCTAACAGTTTTTTTAAAACTTGATAAGAATCCGTTAGGACAAAATAAAAAGCTATCAGAATTTCTAATATGATTGATTCATCCAGGGGTTTTCTTCGTAATTTTTTCAAAAGCTGAAGATAACAGTTTGACATTAACAAAAATGTATATGTAATATTGATAACTCACTTTTAGCATTAGCTGTATGCGCCAACAGATTCATGCGACTGTTTTGAACACCAAAACCAGCATAATTACTCGGTCTTATCATACAATATACTTCAAAAAGACAACAAAATAATTAGAGAGAGAATCTGTTTTATTGTTTTGTATTCTATGTAGTAGCCTTACCCGTAACAGTTTTAGAAAACGTTAGTATATCACCTAGAACAATTAACTAACGTTTATAATATTTTCACATCTATATGGATGATTACCTTCTGATAGATTATATTCGGACTTTGACATTTTAGTACACCTATATGCAATAATTCTATTCAGCAAGTATAGCAGTATAATTTACTTTTACTAGAAAAATATGAATGTATGCATACTTTTTTTGTCCCCTATAGTCACTTCTCCCGTAGAAGAACGCTACTGTTATCGAAAGTAAATAGCATTATTAAACGTTTTATTTTTTCGTCCCTGATATAACTTCTCTCGAGTTATCTAAATCAACAGAAAAGGTATGCGAATGGTAAGAAAAATCATAGAAAATGCTTTGAAATTTTTCTAATTTTCTTTGTTTAGTGTGTTATGAATTCAGAACAGTGTTTGAAGATAACTTGAAATAAAATATTTAAACATTCAGGATTCGTTTCAGTCATTATAGGAAAATTGTTTATCAATAGTCTTACAACTCAAATTCAGAAGGCTTTTGCTGCATTGAATATTCATTTCGAACAACAAGTGATTCTATGCCTTGTTATTTCAGAAAAGCAGCATAAAATAGCATGGAATGTAGAAGAAATCCACTGTTCGTACGTTAACTATTCCTATTGATGGCATGAAAAAAATTGTCTTACATCCAAATAATGTTATATCTGTTTTGAAAAGTAGTAAAAATGATTCAGGTAACCACTTGAAAAACGGAATGTGAAGGTGTGTGCATATTTGAATTTCTGGCATTTTAGAGTCAAAGAAAGAAGATGCAAATGATCTAATTCTAACAATAGTATAAGCTCTTAATATTCCCACCTATTCTGGAGATATCTCATGCTCTCATCACTTTGGATCCATACAACAGCATACATCTTCATCTGATCTGTTTCGTTATATTAAATCAAAATTAACAAACGTTAGTTT